AACTCCCCCTTTTAGGACCCCCCAGACCCCAAATTCCCCTTTTAGGACCCCCCAAACCCCAAACTTTCCCTTTTAGGACCCGCCAAATCCCAAACTTTCCCTTTTAGGACCCCCCAAACCCCAAACTTTCCCTTTTAGGACCCCCCAAACCCCAAAATTCCCCTTTTGGGACCCCACAAACCCCAAATTCTCCCTTTTAGGACCCTCCAAACACCAAAATTCCCCTTTTAGGACCCCTCAAACCCCAAATTTTCCCTTTTGGGACGCCCCAAACCCCAAATTCCCCCTTTTGGGATCCCCAAATTCCCATTTTAACCCCAAATTCCCCCATGTGAGATCCCCCAAACCCCAAATTCCCCTTTTAGGACGCCCTAAACCTCAAATTCCCCTTTTAGGACGCCCTAAACCTCAAATTCCCCTTTTAGGACGCCCTAAACCTCAAATTCCCCTTTTAGGACGCCCTAAACCTCAAATTCCCCTTTTAGGACGCCCTAAACCTCAAATTCCCCTTTTAGGACGCCCTAAACCTCAAATTCCCCTTTTAGGACGCCCTAAACCTCAAATTCCCCTTTTAGGACGCCCTAAACCTCAAATTCCCCTTTTAGGACGCCCTAAACCTCAAATTCCCCTTTTAGGACGCCCTAAACCTCAAATTCCCCTTTTAGGACGCCCTAAACCTCAAATTCCCCTTTTAGGACGCCCTAAACCTCAAATTCCCCTTTTAGGACGCCCTAAACCTCAAATTCCCCTTTTAGGACGCCCTAAACCTCAAATTCCCCTTTTAGGACGCCCTAAACCTCAAATTCCCCTTTTAGGACGCCCTAAACCTCAAATTCCCCTTTTAGGACGCCCTAAACCTCAAATTCCCCTTTTAGGACGCCCTAAACCTCAAATTCCCCTTTTAGGACGCCCTAAACCTCAAATTCCCCTTTTAGGACGCCCTAAACCTCAAATTCCCCTTTTAGGACGCCCTAAACCTCAAATTCCCCTTTTAGGACGCCCTAAACCTCAAATTCCCCTTTTAGGACGCCCTAAACCTCAAATTCCCCTTTTAGGACGCCCTAAACCTCAAATTCCCCTTTTAGGACGCCCTAAACCTCAAATTCCCCTTTTAGGACGCCCTAAACCTCAAATTCCCCTTTTAGGACCCTCCAAACCTCAAACTTTCCCTTTTGGGACCCCCCAAACCACAAATTCCTCCATTTGGGACCCCCTAAACCCCAAATTCCCCGTTTTAGGACCCCCTAAACCCCAAATTTACCCTTTTAGGACCCCCCAAACCTCAAACTTTCCCTTTTAGGAC